AAAGAAAGAATAAAAAAAAAATAATAATAATAATAATAAAAATTATGGGCAAAACAATCACGTTGCGTCCGATATTTTTGTTTTGATTATCACGTTACACAGATCTTCAGTTACCAACCTAAAAATTTCACTGGCCAATCAGATTTCAAGATCAGGTGTGATGCAAAAGAAGCAAAAATCGCTTATAACTCAACATTTTATCTATGAAACGGATACGCATCACTTCACAGAAAATCATTTTACAGACGTTTATTTAAAGACAATTAATTTACAGATAGTTCACTTTGCAGACAATTTTATTTTACAGATATTAAATATCTAAATCAACTAATTATTTTGGGATTCAGTAATTGGATTTTGGTAATTTTAGGCTTGTTAGAACCATCTTATCAAGACGATTATTTTGGTAATTAAATTATCCAAAATAGACCACTAGATCGGGAGTTATTCTCTTTTAAAGATTGTCCATAAAATAAACCATCTGCAAAATGAGCTATCTATGAATTGAACAGTCTGTGAATTGTCTTTAAAATAAACTTGTCTATGAATTGATTGTCTATGTAATAAGGTGTCTATGAAATAATTTTCTATAAAGTGATATGTATCCCTTTCTGTGCACTAACAAAAAGTTTTCCTTGCAAAATTTTGGCATTACTAAATTTTTTTCTAACCTAACTTCATGGCAAATCTAACCTTAATCTAACAGCGAAATTTTTTTAGCGAAATTTTTTAGGTTGGTAACGCTAGATCAGTTAAAAAATTCATCGTTTAAATACTAATACTACATATAAAGAATAACAATTCGACTAATTTTATAACCCATAGATACAAACTTATAATATCAACTAGTTACGTCATATATAAAAATCAGTTTATAAAACAATAATTATAAAAATAATTTTTTTTATACATTTATTGTTATACATTTGATAATAAAAAAAAATACAATCTTAATTATCCATAATATTTACAAAAACATAAACATATCCAAAATTGTGTTTAAAGCTATTGATTGTCAAATGCTAAAAATAACAAAATTTATATGGATAATAAATATGTTGTATAACTAATGTTACATAAGCATCTAGTTAAATAATTAAGTGTGACAGTTTATGCTAAGATTTTGGGTCCCCTTTAAACCTATAATACCTTACTAAAATTCAAATACAATCGACTCTGAATATCACGAACTTAGAATTTTTAAAATTTCATAATAGTTCGGTATAGAAAGTGCCATGTGTCCTTCAGAAACTAGTAATTTTCTATAACGAACTTTTTTTCTTCCAGAACCGTCAATTCGTTATAGAAAGAGTTGACCATATACTCTTTTATTAATACGTGGGTTGATTCATAAGTCTTGTCGTCGAGGTCGTACCTGCATGTTGATCAAGGTTTAGCCAAAAAAAAAATTACGTATTATAAGTATTGTGTAGCATGATCGATCTGTAAAAAAATTAGATCTGCATTGATATAAAAATCGGTGAGAATTTTTTTTTTGAAATTTTATGTTAAAACAATTGCGAGAAAATGAGCCGCCAAAACCAGCATTACTACACTTATATTCGCTGGAAGAATGGTGTAAGTGTACCTGAGGTCCATGCCAAATTGGGTGCTGCTGAAGGAAGTCGTGCACTATCAAAACGTACAATTGAACGCTGGGTTTCAGCATTCAATAACGGAGATGAATCCGTTGAAGACAAGCCTCGTCCTGGACGTCTCCGCCAAGCAACCACTCAAGAAACGATTGCCAAAGTTGAAAATTTGGTAATTGAGGACCCTCACTCCACTACCAGAGAATTGTCTGACATCGTTGGCATCTCCCAAGCCCAGATTACTAATATACTTACTAATAAATTGGGCATGCGCAAGGTGTGTGCAAAGTGGGTTCCGCATACTCTCTCCAATAAGAACAAGAAGAAACGTGTCGATATTTCCTGAAAGCTTTTGAAAATGATGCAGAATGGTTATAGGAATGTAATTACTGGTGATGAAACTTGGATTCATTACTTTACCGTATCTAACAAACAAAATAATAAACAATGGGTTAAAAAGGGAGAAAGCCGACCACAAATCGTTCGGACGGCCCGGAATAGTAAAAAACGAATGTTCTGTGTTTTTTTTTCTGTAGATGGGGCAGTGGCCTGTAAAGTTGTAAAAAAAGGTTCCACTGTTAACTCCAAGTATTATGTTAATGATGTATTGCCCGAAGTGTTTGATAAATTTAAAAAAAAAAGAGACAGACAATCCATAAGGAATGTCATGCTTCACCACGATAATGCCTCTTCGCATACGGCTGGTATCGTTACTAAGTATTTAAAGCGAGAACGTATTACTTTGCTTCCTCATCCGCCCTACAGTCCAGATTTGGCACCGTGTGATTTTTTTTTATTCCCTAAACTAAAAAAAGAATTGGCTGGTCGGCACTTTGAACGAATTGAAAACCTTGCACGTGCCGTAAATTCAATTATTAATACTATCCCAAATCGGGAATATGAGAAATGTTTTCAGGATTGGCAAAACCGGCTCAAACGTTGCATAGAGGCTGGCGGAGGGTATTTTGAAGGAATGATGTAATTTTTTTTTTTATTATTAAATAAATAAAATCTCAAAATAATTGTGCTACGACAAGACTTATGAATCAACCCACGTACTACCCCTAAATCTTAGTTTAACCCGAAAAAAAAAGGCTGACGAAAAATTTCAAAATTTATATTAAAACCCCAGCTTAAGCTGCCACAATAAATGTTCTTGCTGCATTAAAAAAAACCATCAATATGGATATTCTCTTAAATCAATTTCTGCGGGTACATCTGCTTCGAAATCGCTGTCATCCTCCTCTCCATATTGATCTTCACTTATAGACATAGTATCAGATCCACCTTCATCATCACCATAATCAAATTCATCATCATATCCTATCATTTCATTATTGTCTATTGTTAGATCCATTCGTCCCGGCATATCAACATTCCCTCCAATATATACAGATGTTCGTTTGTACGAATTTGTCAAACTATTTTCATACAAATCACTATCAGAGAATTTTGTGGATATTGAGGCAGAAGTTTCAAGCATTCCAGGAGCAGAATGTAAGTGTGTTGGCCGTAGATCGTTACTACCTAGCCTCGGTGAACTAGGTTGACTTTTTTGTGGTGATAATGTCGATATTTCATATATTTCTGGAGGCAGTTCAATTTCTGGTAAATCTGATTTCCAATAATTCCAATCATTGTAAATTGTATCCCATTTGCTATCAATATGAGGGAAAATTTGATCAACCAAATCGCTCAAATCAACGTAACTATAACGAATTTGTATAACAATAAGTTTATAACAATAAGTTTATGATAATACCAAAAAAAATATTTAGAACAATAATTCAAAAAAAAAACTTACGATGACTTATATCCTGCCAATAATTCTAATTTTACTTCTCCATTTGTATCTATCGTGAATATTTTCGAAGACGGAATATTTACACTTCGATAAGATAAAGCATCCTACAATAATAATAATTTTAGTATCAAAGATATTATGATATATTGGAAATTCATGTTTGTATAAAAGGAAAACGCATACGGTTATCCTATTGCCGAATCCAGCAAAGAAAGGATTTCTATCTCCAAATAACTTTCTCACATCACGTAAACATGCTATTTTAAAGGCCTCGGGCTTACGCATTATTACTTCTCTATAAGAACAGAATAATTAGCTCATTAGGAATTTTATAACAAATAATTTAAAAAAGATCTCGTCTGGAATGGATACCTGTGAAAAGCTGTTAATAAACGATCAGGTGACATAATTACCGGCCCCTCCGGTAATTGATATTTATCTTGTTTTACTTTTTCTAAATAATCTCTGGTATAATCCGCCTAAACAAGATCAAAATGTTAAGTAGGTTTTTTGATCCTATCATAATTAAACATTTACCTATACGTACTTGGCCAATAGCCCTACTCGTTAAGTATAAAATTTGATATCCATTTTTATGGATATCTGAATACAATTTTGCGACACCAGAATGCGTCCAATCTTTACCGATCATTGTAAATACGTGACCAAGAGCATCCGACCTAATTTGATAAAATAATCATGAGCCTTTTTAGAGTAATATAATAACAAATACTTGAAGTCGTAACATCTAGCTTACTTCGTAATAGTTCCATCGATATCAGAAACAACAATATGTGTATCATTATCCCAAAAGAACA